CGGTAGGGAGGGCGGGGGGGGGTCAGAGCAGAGAGGGGGAGGTCAGCAGTGTTCCGACAACCTGGCACTATATTTGCATGAGAGCTTCTTTACTAAGCTGAGCCTGTCGAGAGAGAGAGAGAGAGAGAGAGAGAGAGAGAGAGAGAGAGGAGGAGAGGAGAGGAGAGAGAGAGAGAGACTGAGACTTTGCCCGAAGGATGCTATGAATACCCAGCTTTATGCCCAAACACTTCTAAAGACTTGCGGGGGGGGGGGCAGACGGGCCCATCCGGAGTCCCCCACTACTGCCTGGTATTGGGTGAGTCATTTCTCCTCCTCTGAGTTGCAACTTCTTCGTGTGTAAAATCGGGGTGCCTGTCCTTATGGTGAAGCTTCTTTTCAGACCCGGAATCTGTCAGGCTGCGGCAGGGAGCTTAGGGCACTGACCTGTTCCTACCACCACCAGGTATTTTCACCCAGACACCCCGCCCGTTACCCCTTTCCCACCCCCTTCCTCGGGTCTCTATTCTATTCTAGAGGTCCGATGGGGCAGAAGGGCCCCAGGCTGAGCGGATACTGGAGGGGGAACAGCGGGACGCGCGTGGGAACGCGGCCAAGGAGGCAGCACGTGCGGCGGGGGCGCCTCCGGCTGAGCCCGGTGATCCCGACACCCGCTCCCTGCAGCTGCTGCGGTCCCTGCCGGGCGGCTCCAACCGTCGGAAGCCCTGGCTGGCCGATCCGGACGCCCCCGGTTTGCCTCTCAGTGCCCTCCGGCTGGAACAAAGGCACACGGCCAAGGCCAGGGGGACCAGGCCGGGTCCGCACGGTCCGCAGGGGTGCCTCCTCCCGGGGCGCCGTGCAGGACTGGGGCCGCCGGGCTCCCCTGTGCGCCCACGGCTCCGCGGCTGGGGCGGCTCCGCGAGGTCGGGGCGCGCGTACCTGGCAGGGTCCGGTGCACCGTGTTGCCCATGGCTGCTCCGGGGATCGCGGCGCGGGGCTAGCGGGGCGGCGGGCCGGGGGCCGAGGCCGGTCTGCGGGGCATTGCCG